CGCACCCTTTCTGACAGTGGACTGCTCTGCTCTCCTGTGTGCAGAAAACGAGCCCGCCCTCCTTTTACACCCCTCCACTTCTATCCATCACACACACACACACACATACACGCACGCATACACACGCACACATGCATACACTGTGGCTACACGGGTATGACAAGAGTTTGAAAAATAAACTCATAATCTAGGTTTGACGAAGAAAATTATATGGCAGACATGTGCCACCGTCCATCCAAAGGCCCACGCAACAAACATGTTCTCATAACCTGGTGATTAGACTTAACTAAAAGTTATATTGTAAACTGCAATCTTTTTATTTTCTCCATACAGTTTGTGCATTTAGTACAATGTTTGGTAATGTCGGCTAGACCGGGGTTTGTCGTTGAACTTTTACTGGTTCTGCGCTGAAGCATATTTTAATTACCACTCCATCTTTAAATCCTAGCTGAGTGTGCTGGTTCTAGATGCTTTTCCCCTTCTCTCTTGGTGACAACCGACCTAATTCCAGGGTATATATATATATATATATATATATAACTGAAAAAAACTACTCGTTTTTTATTCTTTATAAGATCGACGATTTGTAATTGGATACCGGCGAATGCACTTTATGTCCGAAACAATATTTTTTTATCCCGTGGTTATTTTTTGTAAATTATTGTGAGTTATTCTGTGCGTTAGAAAGTTAAGCAAAATTAATAAATTCATAACACTTTAATATATGTTTTCTAAAGTCCTTGAGAACACCTATGAACAAATCCCACATTTTATGATCGTCTTATAATATCTTGCGTGCGCATTAGACAACTAGCCCCAGAATCGGTGAGACAACCAAGTCCAAATCCCTCGACTAATACTGCAAGCTTTGAAGATGGCTCAATCAGACTGATTACCTTCAGTTTTCTGACAGACTCTTGATTTCAAATAGCTCATATTGGGATTTTTTTTTTTGTGTGGCTAGAATAACATTCTGTGTCGCATTAATATTACAAAGTATTTCATCGCCTCAAAGTTTTGCCCCTGATAACCTCTGCAAAGTGGACACACGTTAAAGTAAAATAGGTGACATTAATATAATTTCAGAGTGGTAGCTTGAAGAAACGTAGCAAATAACTATGGTCCAGTGTAGCCTGATGTAGCCTGATAATATACTTTTAGGTATATTGCTATAGTACTTTTATTAAAAAAAAAAAAAAAAAAAAAAACCTCGCACGCCCATCGGTTTGGAAGGTGTAACGGGGATTTTCTCAAAAATATTAAATCAACTTTCTCACAAACGACGGGAGCTGGCTTTAAACCCGTGAAGATGGTCTGATTCCAGCTTGCATGACGCACACTGCAGTCTACCTGCAAGCAGTCAGCAAATTCTTGAGTCGTTATGTGGTTTGTTAAAGCGTGTTTTATGCGTGTGGATTTGCACTTTTCAAAGCACTGGGATGGTTGTTTGTGAATACTGAAAATGCATGAAGTGAATAAAGCCAATTTGGTATAAGTGACCAACTGATTTTTTTTTATTCTTATTTATTTATTTTTAATTAATTAATTATCAAGACAAAACGTGAAAGCAATTGGTTTGGATATCGACTAATTTATCTTATTTATATGCACAAGACGTGTGATAAGGGAATACAAACGCAAATGTGTGCAGGCAGGGGATTCCTAAAGGCATATATCCGTCTTGCTTTTGGAGTCATGTGCGTAAATGCAGTGCAGTTGTTGGGCGAGCCGGTGGCTGCAGGTAAGCAGCATGCAGTTGCATGGAGATGGATGCTCTCCCCTCCCCCACAACCTCTGTATCAGACTCAGAACTCCTTCCCTGCTCGACAAGACTCGTCTGGAGGGACATGATGTCTGCTTGTCATTTATAGCCCCACATCATGGCTGGACACTGCTGTTGTTCCGATTTAGAGCACTGAAAATGTTTGAAACCACTGCGATGCGATGCTTAAAACAAGAAGTATATATATATATATATATATATATATATATATATATATATATATATATATATATATATATATATATATATCTATATTTTTTTATATATGTTTTATCTTTGCGACACTTGGAATGTGATATACATAGACCAAGTGGATATACAAATAGTTCTTTTTTTTTAGCAGAAAATAAGAAATATTTTTTACTGTAATTTATTGTACAAACAGCCTTTTCTCTTGTAGAGTCAGACTGGACCTGAAATATGCGTAAAAGGTGAAAGAAAGTATTTAGTTTTGTTTACTTCAGTGACTGACTCAGAGCCTCACGTTTCAATCAGCAACTCTGGTATTTAATTTGAGCTTTGGAGTAAGTTGAACGAAATTTGGAGAGAATCGGACGCAGTGATTTTGCTTCTTTTTTTTTCTTTTTTTCTTTTTTTTTTACTATAATTGCAATTGAACGAATAAAACAATAACAAACCCAATTAAAAAAAAGCTAACAGGTTAACTCAATTTGAATATATTATTATAACTAGCAAATATTGATATTGAGCAAATAATGGGTCAAAAATTGCAGAGAAAGTGCCAGCGCACTAAATTAGCTGTCTGATAAAGTTTTTTTTATTTCTACATGTCACAATAAGTGGATAGCATAAAATATCTCTGCACTGTGCAATATGAGTATGTGCTAATCCTACAAGAAGCCACGCGTCTATCTGCAGCATGTGCGCTGTTTATAAACCTTATAGATATATTAAAAGTAAACTATTCCAGTTGGATAGATCTCGGAACTCATTATCCTGCTGGCATGCCTGGCGCATGGTCATTCAATAATAATGGGACGTTACTTTTGGTAAAATAAGAAATATAATTTGAACATTTATTATTTGTTTTATAGTCTAATTCATGTCATTTAAAGCATATATTAGTGCACAGATGAAGTTAAAAACAAACAATATTTTCAGGTTGACTTACACCCCTAATATATGTATATGTATATTTCATTTAAAACTTAATAAGAAATGTTAAGTTTATATTTGACATAAGATAACACAGGATCTGTCAATATGTACATTGTTGTGGTTTTAGGAGGATGTTTATTTTACTCATATCAAAGTATTTTATAGATTTTCGCTTACCTAGTTACATTCGGACGTCAACTTGTATGTAACATGGGCTCACTAAACTCAAGTTTGAACGTATTCTGTGCTCGTTTGGCTTTGAATTGAACTCATCGTGGCTCCTTAAAACAAGACTGCGTCATTATCGATCGTCTTCTCAAAAGACTTATTTTTTGATATTTTTGATGACTCATGCACGGCTTCTTCAGCCTCCGCTCTCACGCCAAATATTTTAAAGCGAGGCTCTCCAAATAACGCCTAGTTTGCATGTATGCTCTAGTGTGAAGTTCATTCTTGTCTGTCTAGACTCTCCTTACGACCCTGTTTGTCTGCGTTTTTTTACCTTGACCTTGGACTTCCGTGCAGCTGCCATTTGGATGAGCCCTCCGCCGCAGTTGTAATTTCCCTGAGACAAAAGAAGCAACAGCCTCTGACTGAGGAGCGACTGGGGAGGCAGCGAGGGTCCAGCTTTCTCTGAGATGTGTTTACAAATAGGAATCGATGGGCATTTTATGCCTATAAGTCCAAAAAGTGTTGTTGGACTGCGCGCCCCTTTTGCAGTAGCAGCTCGAAGCCTGCTTCATGTGTGAGTCATAGGTTAGGCATTATGATGCACTCTGGGCCTGTCCCAGCTATAACATTTGTTACTTGATTCAGTAAGCAAGTTTAAAAGACACACACACACACACACAAAAAGAAGAAATAACTCATCAGGCAATGAACAGAGGAATTGATTGAAAAGGTAAAAGTGTAACGTTCAGAGGAACTTTGCTGCTCGGAGATGCCAGTGGCATGCGTAAAAAATAACTCGTTGGGTGAAATGGGACATTTTTTATTTATTTTTTCTTAGCTTGGGTTCCAACTAAGTATCATTTACTTAGTTGGAACCCAACCACAACGTGGTTTGTATTTAGTTCAACTGAAAGAGGCAATTGTCCTTCCTGTCGCCAGGAAGAGTCAATGGCGCAGACTACAACTAATACTAATAACCCAGTGTGCCAAAAAAACATCACGAGTTTGTAGAACGTTGCAATTGTCTTATCTGTGCAAGTACTAATTATGAAGCTGTGAAAGAATTTTCGCAGACATCAGACATAGTTTCACTTCAAAGAACAGAGACTGGCTTTCGTTATGACCGAGTTAAATGATTTCTAACTAAAGGACATTTTGATGAGACGAGTCCCAGTTTGAAACAATGGTGTCTTACCTGCATAGCTTCCGTCCCCTCCTGCTGCTGTTACTGCTGATGAGGTGCAACTGACACTCATGCAACACCTTAAAGTTTGCATTTCTTTTCTTAAGGGGGGGATGCTATACCTCTGAATCACACACGTATGGATACACACATAAACACGAAGACGCACACACTGTAGATTCCATGTTTTTATTAGAATTTTTTTTATTATTTTTATTTTGAGATGTCCTCGTTTGATTTGTTTCTTAATTGTACGACTTTTACTTATTTTTCAGTAATTGTTGAAATAGTCCTTTATGGAATATTAACACACAGATTTGGATATAGAAGGCATTCTTTACATGTCAGTGTGAAACGGAATCATAAGACTCCTGCAAAGAAGGGGCTTGTGTTTTGCATTTGTATTTCCCAATTTATTAAACATTTATTCACTTTAGTATTAATCAAAGTAGATTAATAAATTAAAATGCTAGCAAGTAACCACATGAACACAACGCTTTGCGTAAAAAAGCACCGAATCACATCAACTATTGCGCATTGCGCTCCTACTCCAGCCCAAGTAAAATAATAATAATAATAATAATAATAATAATAATCATCACATTCATTATTTTTCTTTATGGAAATAAACTTGCATCCTCTTTTACACGTGGAAGCTGCTTCATGTATCAACACGACGGCTTATACATTCTCAGTCAATTCACAGAGTCGGCTAAACGTCTGATTGTTTTCCTGTGGCCCAGCTCTTGAGCGTTTCCAGAACTTCCCTTTAAGGGTGTGGGTCTACCCGACTTAAACCAATAGTGTGACTCGTCTTTCTGTGGGGGGAAAACGGTGACATGCGAGGCAGTGGGTCTTTAAAGGAGCTGCTCTGCCCCTGCTCTCAAACCCAATCTCGCAGGACTTGTTAGCGTATCACGTGACAGACTCTTAATGAAGTGGACACACTGTTGGGCCCGGTGTGCGCATGCGCTCGGTGTAAAATGTAGTTGGAAATGAGGTGTCCGTCTTGGAGTAGTCGACTTTTAAAAAGCATCGGCAGCCCGTGATATGACGACTTCGCTGGTTCTGCATCCACGCTGGGCGGACACCTTGATGTACGTTTATGAAAAAAGCCCGAATGAAAGCAGCCAGAATAAAAGCCAAACAATGGAGGGACTGAGCGGTAATTGCCCTGCGACCCACTGCAGGGACCTGATGTCGCACCCAGCGCTGGGACGACATTCTGGCTCCATAGCGACCCACCAGGGCTCCGTCTACTCGGATATTTCCTCTCCGGAAAGCGGTCGGCAGTGCCCCGCTCCCCAAACGTCTTCGAGCGCGTCTCTGAGCTACGGCTACCCCTTTGGAAACCCATATTACGGCTGTAGATTATCCCACTCGCACAACGTGAACTTGCAGCAGAAGCCCTGCTCGTACCACCCCGCGGAGAAATACGCCGAACCCAGTACGGCTCTCCCCACGGAAGAACTGTCTACCAGGCCGAAAGAGTTTGCTTTCTACCCGAGTTTCGCCAGCTCGTACCAGGCCGTCCCAGGATATCTGGACGTGTCGGTGGTGCCCGGAATCAGCGCCCATCCTGAGCCGCGACACGACGCCCTAATCCCCATGGAGGGCTACCAGCACTGGGCTCTCTCCAATGGCTGGGATGGACAGGTGTACTGCTCTAAAGAGCAAACGCAGTCGACCCATCTCTGGAAATCACCATTCCCAGGTATGGATATGATACAGTTATTATATTTCCGGAAATATAAACTTTTTAAACTACTTTGATTAACTGAGCTTACTGTACTGTTTGATAGCAATTGGAAAGTACATGTGATTGAATTGAAATGATTTTTATGAAGTGCCTCGAGGAGACTTCTGTTCTGAATTGGGCGCTGTGTAAATAAACTGAATTGAATTATTTTTTTTTTCTCCCCACAACTGTGCTTGTACAACATTTAACACGTGTCATCATATTCAGAGCATTACTTAAATCCAAGTAGACAAGTGTCCTCTTCTAACATCTAAGCGTCAAGTACACATTTATATTATTTTTGCTAGAATGTCTCATCTGTGCTAAAATCTAAATTGCATTTTAAACCATAAAGAACATTTACCCAATTTCACTGCATAATTGTGTGCAAAATTATAAACTTTTTAAAAGACTCTAGTAGCTGTCTTTTTTAAATTATTAAATTAAATACTAAATATTCAGCTTAAAATAAAAACAAACTAAGGTGGAAGATTCTCAGTGGCACATACATGACGATATGAGAATAAATAAACTTTTTTTTTTTCAGCTGCCTGACCCTCTGACAAAATTCTGAACATTGTGCCTGGCACAGTCACATGACGAAAGGGGCTAGGTTTTGCTGTCACGTAGAATATAAAAGGTACACCACTGCATACCTTTGCCCCACGTAGGAGAATACAGTGACTGAGACACAGACTGCTGGATGTGGACTGTGGCCGTAAATCTCTGAGCCCTGTGGTGCGTCTTTTGCATACAGGCCAATCTGGACTCTTGTCGAGAACATCTGCATTGCCATCCAGACAGATAAACGCATCACAATCAGAAATCATTTTACGTTATTTTTTTATTAAGGCTCGCATGTTGTTATCATGCAGTGAAATAGTCACTCGCTGTAACGCACATCTCATTTGGCGTTTATGATCTTTGTGAAATCTGCAGCTATTTTAATTGCACATTGATACCCCCCAACCCCCTCCCTCCCCCACCGGCCCCCCAGCACATCTACTCCCTGCAGCCCCCTACTCTCATTTTTTATGTTGCAAATAATATTGGAGCTAGCCACGCAAGCACGGGCACGCTGTCAAGAAAGCGCGCACACGTGCTCAAACACATAGAGTGACGTCCTCCCACATGAACACAACAGAAAATAGTGGGGGGGAACTAAAAAGAAACACTGAGCACCACTTCATATTTTTTTTGCACTTTAGTCGTCGTTTAAAAATTTAATTTAGAAGAATGTTTAAACACAAAATATTAAATTGTTTACAAAAAAAGAATAATCCACCTCTCATTTGATTTTTAAAATGAAAGGAATTATAAAATATTATGTGTCACAGTTTGCTCGCAATTTAAGGAACCGTGCTGTTTTGTAGCTTTTTTAACGGCTTAAAAGCTTTTTTTTTTTTTAATAAAAGGGAACTAGCAATTTACGTAACCATAACAAATTAGTCAATTACTGAAAAAAATAGGGGGTAAAAATCCAAGTATTACTTTAGGGTGTTTAAACACCGCTCAGGTTTCTATATCTGAAGTTTCCTTACATGTGTAACTTTGTGCATGTAAAGTTTACAATACTTTTTTATTTTTAAGAGCTCGATTCAATTCTAAGTTTTGTTGGCATTTTGTTTGTTTTCTAATCAGGCACTTCCTTGGGTACTCCTCTCTGCAGCAGATACAATGTTCTTTCTACCCCTTTCCCTAACGACAGGTTTATCCAAGACGCCATTAATAATAACTGTAACTGTGGTTTGTAGATCTAATCAGCAAGTACACTGCAGTTTAAAGAAGCATGAATGATCTCTCACCGCTGAAAAGTATATCTAACAGAGCTTCTGCAGGTTGATGCTTTGTGTTATTTACAGAAACAAAGGACGCGGAAGAGTGTTGTGAATTTTTTATTTATTTGTATTTTTAGAATCAATTTTGTGTCAGATGTACTGAAATGTCAGGTGCAACACACCTGAGAACAACCCCCACCTCCAACGCACGCACACACACACACACACACACGCGCGCGCGCGCGCACTTATACGCCGTTTTCTAGATTTCATTCTCTTTGCCAACCGGAGTTCTCCTGGCAGTGTTCATTATATCTTTTGGACAAAATCTAAAATGTCCCCCCTCTTTCCTTTGCAGACGTCGTGCCCCTGCAGCCCGAGGTCAGCAGTTACCGTCGCGGGCGCAAAAAGCGCGTCCCTTACACCAAGATCCAGCTCAAGGAGCTGGAGAAGGAGTACGCGGCCAGCAAGTTCATCACCAAAGACAAGAGAAGACGCATCTCGGCCGCCACCAACCTCTCGGAGCGTCAGGTCACCATCTGGTTCCAGAACCGGCGGGTCAAGGAGAAAAAATTCGTCAGCAAATCCAAGAACAATCACATCCACACCACTTGATACGGACAGGGCTGCACTTCGAATCTTCCGAAAACAACACGGCATCTGTTTACCTCTCGCATCGAAAGATCTTTACTGAAGAACATTTTATATATATATATATATATATTTTTTTTTTTTTCTCTGTTGTTGTTTTGGTCGAGTGTGTTTTAAATTTCTAATTTAAGTTCAAACATCAGCCAACACCGCCGACCACGTCCACAGCCTCCCCTCCACTTCTCAGTTTAGAGATAATCCTCTAAAAACTGTGAAAATGTTGAAAGTTCACGTCGATTTTGTTTTATAGGAATGTACATATATAAATATATAATATTTAAAACGCTATCTGTATTTCAAAGACAAGTATTGCGTGTTTTATTTTTTTCTTTCTTTCTTCTTCTTCTTCTTCTCCTTCTTCTTCTACTTCTTCTTCTTCTTCTTCAAGCCTGCATCTTTTAAAGGACTGACGACATCTCAAAGTGGTTGCAATGGAGGGAGATCAAAATCAAAGGAAACTGTTGTCATTTTAGAGAGGATGATCGCCATATGGACAGCATAAGTCGAACTTTCGACTTTAATCAGTTTCTACAACTGACATTGAAGACTTTCATCAGAAAGAATAATTTAAAAAAAAAGAAGAAAAAAAATCATCCGAATCTCAAAAGCAATGTTCCCATATGTGGGATGTGTTCTGTAAAGCCTGGGCTAAAACATAGGCTGCTATGTTGTTAATCTGTACAGTGCAATGCCTCCATTATTTAATTCATATTATCTAGTACCGGAGTATCATAAACCTGTATGTTTTCCTTTATCAGTGAAGGACTCTGTCATGCAACTGGAATGATTGTAAACCATTAAAGTGAGTATTACATATAAATGCACAATCGTTTTATTTTGTTATGACCTTGTTCAGTGTAACGTTGGAGCTATGATCACACGTCGTGTATACGAAGCCTGTATCGTTTCTACTTTGGTGCAGTATGTGAACTGTATTGTGGTGTTGAATTGCGTTCTGGTAACAGTGTTTCATAAATAAATGATGATTATGAAAATGCTCGCTCATACTCAAGTCAATTAAGCATCTGAACCGGAAAATTTCAATTCGTTTCGAGATGCACATATGTTAATGGGCTGCCGAACTGCTCTACTTTATTCTTATTATTTTTTACATTACAACACCAGTACTACCAAATAGTTATTGGACATCTAGTAAAGACATTGTTACACATAGGGCGATTCTAATTTATAAGGACCTAACCACGTCATTCGAAATATTCAATATTTGCACGACCTTATGCGTCAGTTTTTAGATTTTATTAGCGTGTCAAGTTAGATTTGGTTCAATGTAACTGCATCAAACCTACTTCTGAGAAAAATCTATGAAGACAAATTTTAGGTTGTAACGTGAGATAAAATTATGGGAAACGATAAAGCGAGTTATGTTCTAATCTTCACCACACAAAAGCATATTTCCACCTTCCTAAAACAATCGTCTGTCATTGTTTTCCCCATTTTTTAAAGAGGTGGTAATTTCTTTTGCAAAAATTACTTTTGAAAAAAAAAGACATATTCCATTATCTTATTGAGTTGACGATATTCAGCTTTTTCCACATTCCAAAAGTAAAAACGTATCCTGACAAAAGACAGCATTTTACTCAAAAATCACAATTTGATTTGAGAATTCTACGTGTTTCCCCTGATAAGCAATCATCCTCTGAGTGTGTGTGTGCTGTTTGCATTGCTAAATTAGTGTGTGGCATTGGTATTTAGATAGATTTATATTTCATTCCGTATGTATTTCGGATTGCGGATTGCGGCCAATGCCTCTAAAACAGGTAAGTTGTGCATAAGATCTTCAGTGATCTTTGCCGATTAAAACGGTCTCTCTTTTGTCAACCCCACCTCTTATCAGTGTTTAAAATAAAATTCGCTTTCATCTAAATCGTAAGGAATTCGCATATTTTCACAATTTCAGTTCCGTAATATTTCGACACACTGTCGCGGTTTTTTCCCAATGTGTGTATGGCAGACACAGTTTTCCCCCTGCAAGAAGAAGGTTGCATAAAGTAAACTGATGTGTGCGAATGTTTAAATGGGTTATATTTATACAGATTGGTTCATTAACTAATAATACAATACAAACACAATCTATCTCAAATATATTACAGGCACAGAACTTTTGTGTGTTGCTGTAGGAAAGGCAGATTTATTTATTTATTTATTTATTTATTTATTTATTTATTTATTTACAACTGCCTGTCCTGTTAGCTTAGCAAAGCTACCTACACGAGACATATTTGAAGGAAAATACGTTGAAATCAACATCCCACGCAGCTGTCCAGGGAATCAGACACAAGCCGGAGCTAGTTTATTTTAGCTCTTCCTTAGACATGTTCACGTCAAGTCTGTAATTTAGGTTTCTAATTGGAATGAACACCGAGCTGAGTTGGCGTATGACAAAAGGACTAGATTAGGCTTAAAACGGCTTTGGCATGACTATTCAATTCTAAGTTTCAATCTCTAAACCTTTGTACTATTAAGTGTAACTTTCCTGCAGTTTGGATAACTAAAAGCTCTGCTGAATTTATAATTACTAGGTGAGATGTGGTTTAATTCCACTCTTTTGCAGCGTTGTGTCAGCTTTTCCAGCTTCTGCAGATCTTTTTGAAGCTTTTTTTTCTTTTCTTTCTTTCTTTCTTTTTTTTTTTTAGGTCTGGGTTCCTGAATTTTCAGCCAGTGGAAACTTCTGGCTCTTCTTATTTTACCCTTGACCATGACTATGTGGTCACTTTGACCTTGACATCACAGAAGATTGTGAATAATAAATAAGGGGGCTGGACGGCGGAGCTCGGTGGTTTGTTTGTGGGCAAACAAGGTGTTATTTCCCCCGTCTAGACAGCCGGGGCTTAATGGCATGCCATAAATTCATAAAAAGGGGAAGTGTAGCGATATCCTTTGACCTGGGTTTTTCTGACCATCTTTCGGAGCTTTACGCCGACATTTGGGCTCTTTTCAGTTTTTGGGGAAGTGCGCAAAAAGTATAGTGATATGCATCGTGTTCCTAAGCCTCTGGGAGTCAGCAAAAGTTTCATGCAGTTACCACGAGGACTGTGTGTGTGTGCGTGTGTATATGTGTGTGTGTATGTGTGTGTTATTGACCATGCCGGACAGGTAGGACTTTTGACGGCTCTCACCAACAGCAGCAATCTGCAGGAATCCGAAGCAACGGGCCACACAATCAGCACAGCAAGAGGAAATAATAACACGCCATCGCCCACAATATAGCCATTAAAGGTAGGGCGGCTTTCCCCGTATCTTGTCGATACGCTTACGTGGACTTTGTTTTATGACTTTTGGACTTGATAAAGCTTTAATTTGGCACACAAAACTTGTTTGTTGGAAATTAATTCTTGCAAGGATTGAATATAATAAAATCAGGAGACTAAAGTTTGAAAAATATATATTTTAAACATTGTTTTAGCTTTTGATATTATGGAGCATTTTGACAGGAGTTATTTTTTTTTCCTGAATTTTTATTTAATATTATAGTAAAACAGCAAACGCGTAGTTTATTAAGTCCAAACACCCCAAACAGATGATGTTAAATAAACTTCAAATACTATTTTAATACTTTATTCAGTCAGTTCGAAAGTATACAGTAACTAATTTCTATTTTTGCTAACAAAAGAAAATTATTATATATAAAGATAATGCAATATTATACTGAACATATGTATGTAAAATCCCAAGCGTACAATTGCAGACGTGAAACGCTTCATGAGAATTATGTTAATGTTTTACCCGCTGCAGCGTTATACCCACTTAAAAGTCAACGCTGATAAATTGTTCAATCAACAGAAATGTCCCAACATTTAGTCATAAAAGCCGTCTCCGTTTCTTTTTCAACTAAAATTCTAAAATTGTTCTTACTTTTGAACTGATCGGACACGGACTCTATCTTGAAAACACCGAAGGAGGACAAAAAGTTGCCTTGTTTATGTCTGCGTGATGTTTCGTCATTCCTGCAGGCCGCGACCAGACACAGGCATGAGGAAGGGGGCTGATAACCTCTGGTGGTGACCAGAGGAAAATATCAGGAAGTGCTTTAAGTGTTTCTTATTCATGCAGCACTCTGCTTACTCAGCTAATTTTGCCACAGTTTTGATTTAAGCGCACTGTCGCAGTTTGCTTCCTTGCGTTAGGCGGCATATATGACTGTACTGTGTCCATATTTTATTCAGTTTGATTATTTCTTCATTTTTTGACGTTTTGATGAAAAATCTTTCAAATACTTGAAGTATAACTTCTGGTGAAATTATATCAGAAACAGTAGTTTCCATTAAAGCCTTTTGATGCCCTCACTGTTTTACAGTGTGATTCCTGTTTAGATGAAACGTCCGCAGTAGAAATACTCATAGCACTTTTGCAGTTTATAAGCTTTATTATTATTATTATTATTATTATTATTATTATTATTATTATTATTATTATTATTATTATTATTATTATTATTATTATGAAGTTTCAAAAACGGCACAAGTTGAACAAAGTGCCCAGGAGGTAAAAGAAGAAGAAAAAAGTATATAATACAAAGTAGTGAGTAAACAAAACATATAAATATTTATGAGGGTTTACAAAATAAAGTGGAAAAATAAAATGGACAAAACATTTTAAAATAAGTATACACACAACTAGTACTTCCCCTGTATTTACATATATTTTATATTTGAGTGTATTGTAACTTTATTCTCTAGCTATTTCATTATCTTGCTTTCATCTGTAACTATACGCAATAATTGAACAATTGTTTATTAACATAAAAGCCGCTGCATGGAAGCTTTCTGATCCATTCATGTATTTTATAACAATATTGCTATTTCTTTTAACAATGCTGTCAAGTTGTCTTAAAAGTCAGACCCTGTGTTTCCGTGAGATGCACGTGTATCAATAAAGATATAATAACATAAAAAGTTTAGAAAAGTTATGCAATTTTCAACTTAATTAAATATTTATTACAATGATAATGAGGAATCTTACATATAGACGTGTTTACAAATATTATTACCGAGGAAACATTAAACACACACACACACACACACACACACACACACACACACACACACACACACACACACAACACAGACACGTACGCACGCACGCGCCCACATACACACAAACACATGGAGTCCCGGGAAACAAACAAACAGCGCTTTAATTTCTCTATCTGAATTTGAAATTTTGGAGCAACAGATTTAAATATAAACATAAATTATTCATGTTTGAAAATTAGGTCGCCATGTTTTTATACCAAGATTTTATTTTATTTTTCTCACTGTCAAGTTCAACTTTTTTTTTTTTTATTTTGGTCAAAGCAATGAAAAACGGCTTGCTTTTGGTGACGGTTTCCTTGATTCTGCATAATAGCTAAATTATTAAGAGTTTGTTTTAGTTTTGATGTTTAAAATGTGTCCGTTTATGCTCCCATTATTTAATTACTTACACGGAGTATTGTAGTAATTTTGTTTGGTAGTGTTTTTTATTTTGTTTGTTTTTTGTTTTTTGTTTTTCTGGTGCTCAGTATCCCTGGATAAATGTATTTGGTGTAAAGAAAAAAAACATGGTTTGCTGTTGGTAGTTGTAA